AAAACGATCCCGATAATTGGGGATAGATGGTGGGCCCAAGAGGCCCTTGAGGACGGGGATAAGATGTGCAAGAAATTTTTATGTAGTTTGTGGCAGAAACGTAAAGAGCTCCCAAATGTTGGTGGTGTCTCTAGTAGGTGTAGGAAGGGTGTTCCGTTTGAAAAGGGACGGGTGGTCAATGGTCAAATGATTAGGGCAAGCAACAAAGGGGTACCCCCCCCCCCCCCCCGCGCGCTGAAAACTAAGTACCGTATGAACTTAGGGTATTTTCAAGACATCAGTCTGAATTTTTCAACTTTTCCACTCCCTCCCAGCGATGAAATCAATCATGGGATTCTCTTACTCACGTGTCAAGTCATTTAGTTAGTGCCGCCTTCATTTAGAAAAATATCTACCGCGCTCAATATATACCCGAACCTGTGCACGTTTCACCCTTTCTTTTATCTCAAGGTTTTCCGTTTGCGTCGTCTACGGCGAAACCGCCGGTCCGTTCTCCGAGTTTTCGAAGCCCGCGCGGACGTCCATGGTGACAGCCCCGTTGCCAGTTCCCAGGGCGCCGGAAGGGTCTCCCGGGACGCACGCGGTCACGCTCCGTTTCCTGCCGCCTCCCGACCATGGGGTGAGGATAGATCGGCAAGATTGACATTGTCCAAAAGCTCGTAAAAAATATGCAGTTTTGTCTTTGAAGCTTGCTTCTGCCCTATTCTGTATGCATGCATACGTTCGTCGGTGCAGTAGCCCATTTTTTTTTCTCTCTGTTCCTCGTATTGTTGGGAGCCACCGACGGGGAGCAGGGGGGGGGGCTGGGTGTGTGAGATTTCAGGTCTCATCTGGTTTTGTATCGGCGAGGAAAGAATGCTGCCCCATACGATGAAACACCTGTGAAATCACGTTCGTTCGTTCGTTCTTCTTTGCGTATCGATGGTCGTTGTCGTGTGAGTGTATCTCTTCTTCCGGCCTCGCGAAAACCGCTAGAGTAGTAGCTGTAAGACACGCCAGATGCACCCCAATGCGTTTCTTTGAAACTTCTTTTCTTCTTTGGTTGGGGCACCTTCTATCAACCCCCCTCTCCCCGGCCTGTGAACAGCTCCATAACCAACAACAACGCCGTTGATGTGAAACTGAACGAATGATTGTGATCGCCCCACCCCGTCTCCCCGCTATCCCACAACAACCCACACGTAAAAAAAAACCGGCGACACTACTACCAGGGGTCTCCGGTTTCGTGGTATCATGTCATGTCCCGACCGACCGGGGAACAGGTCCTGAGCAAGTGGCAGGCGGTGGGCATGGCGCCAGCGCCGGCGCCAAGGCTGGACGTGTCCGTTCACGACACGGAGCCGCAATCGGTGGCGGTGAAAGTGGAACACCTCGTGCCGGGAGTCGCGTACCAGTTTCGCGTTTGCGCCCAGAACGATGTTGGGTGAGGATGAAACCCAAGGCGTGGCATGCGGTGTGTTTGGCACCCCGAAACAACCAACGCCGCCACCAAAGTACATCGTGTTTTGCTTCTGTTCTCCACTCAACCTGTTTGTCCAACGTGTGTTTCCATGCAATTTTTGAATGGCGTTGGTTTGTCTCCGCGCCATGCGGTTCTTAGGCATGTCACACCCCACAACGAGCAAGTTCACCCATCAGAAGGAGGAATAAATCATTTTTACCGGTGCGGGGCGTTAGTTAGCCTATAAGGCTCTTGTCGGGGTGAACCAAAGAGCGTTCAAGCCGTGTGGCTGGTGGTAGTTTAGGAGCAGCACCAGCCACCTGTAACAACGAAGAACATTTATTTCCATTTGTATCTCCTCCAATACCTCGTGGGAAAACGTTACACATGGTGAGTAAAAATTGTATCTCATCCCGCGATAATTCATATTCGGCCAATTGTAAGGAAACCAAGCCATTGCCCGAAGTACCCTTCCGGGTGTTAATGGGGTTATCTTCGATGGATTCTTCTCTTTGTCTACGAATAGGACGTCTCCCTGGAGTGCCCCATCCGAGCCCGTTGTGGTACTCGCAACCGAGGCGGAAGATTCCACACACAGGGATTTCTCCATGAGCGGTTTCCACGCTGGCCACGAGCACCTGCGTCTCCCGAACGTGACTGACGGTGGGTAGTAGGGTAAGGAATCGCTTGCCGATGGCATTGGGGCAAGGTTTTCTTTCAGTTCTTTTTTTTCTGTTACCCTTTTGGTTCGAGACCAAAGATTGGGAGCCGAAGGAATGAATATCTGGAAAAGAAACCCTCGCCTATGCTTTGCCGGAGACACGGAACGTGGGGCCTTATGCCAAACCCTAACCCTGCCCTCCGCAACACCGATCCATCCACCCCCTAATTTCTTCATACTCTGTCTGGCTGTACAAACAGTGTCGGTGACCTATGCCGGGGAGACCGAGCCGCCCCCCGGAGCGGGATTCGATCCCTTCGAGAGGGAGGTGCACGGACCCACCGTGGTTCTCGACGACCGAGCGAGCAAGATCCGCGTGGCCAGCAACAACTCCGCGTTTGAAGATATCGACGTGTGGACCTGCCACTTTAGGTACGTAATGCACCACCTCGAAAGCAAAGTGATGAGTTTGTACCACAATCTAGAGTTGTTGCACATGACCATGAACTACCATGGCCACATCATGCTGTGTACCTCGCTACTGCATACAAGGCGGGGCGCAAGGAAGATGGCTACCGCACCCAAACCCACCCCTCACCCTGCGCCATTCCCCTCGCCCCGCGTAGACGTTATGGGCAAAAACTACATGTATCTGTACTTACCTCTCCCACTACCGACACCTCGCGCTTTCCCCAGCCCCCGATCCTTCAAGGTGAAATCCGAGGTAGTCGTGGCGCAGCCTGCTGACGCGCGGAGCGAACTGGAGAACGGACGCTTCGTTCGTAACCGCATTGTCGTCGTGCAGCGTGGAGACATCCCGATTGTGCACAAGGCAAGAACACACCCACCCTTCAGAAGAACGGAATGTTTTTCATTAGCTTTAACGGACCATCCGTCTTGCACGTCATCCCTGCTATCAGATGACTGCCCGCACGGTTCGCCTGCTCTACTCTTTTCATACACGGACGATGCAGAAAACTGCAAAGTTCTAAATGGCAAACCGTGTGGTAAAGACATCCTAGACAAGCCGCCTACAACAGAACGTGGTTGCGCATATGTTTTTCCATTCAGCATCAGTATTGCTGAGTCAAAGAAGACAGCACAAACACACCACACCAACGCACGCGACCAACGCAGGTGCTGGCCGCGCAGCGCGCCGGAGCCCTCGGAGTTATCGTTGCCGACGACGGGAGGTGCGGCGGCAGCTTCGGACAGCTGTGCGTGTACGGCAGCGACCCCCCCGAGGGCTGGGCGGCCCTCGACATGCCCCGCCCCTGGCTCGACGTCCGCGTCCCCGTGGTTCTCATGCTCCGCGAGGACGCGGAGAGGTTGACCGCGGCGGCCGGGGCGGCGGCGGCGCACGCCGAGTCCATGGCGTGGACCTCGCTGTACGACGGTTGGGTTGATTCGATGAGTTCTTCTTCTTCACTTTCGTCGTCGTCGTCGTCTTCGGCGTCTTCGGTGGGAGGCGGGGATTGGAGAACGAGTAGCGCTCTCTAACGTCTTTTTGTAGTATGCCTGTTCTGCTTGAATTCCCAGGGGGGGCGTACTCATTTGTTGCTTGCCGTAGTCATTTGACCATTGACCACGCGTCCCTTTCGAGACGGAGCACCGTTCCTACACCTACTAGAGACACCACCAACATTTGGGAGCTCTTTACGTTTCTGCCACAAACTACATAAAAATTTCTTGCACATCTTATCCCCGTCCTCTAGGGCCTCTTGTGCCCACCATCTATCCCCAATTATCGCGATCGTTTTTTCGCTGTTGTCTAATTTACCAACACTTGTCCATGTCACACCCTCTCTGTCTCATTTCCTCCTCGAGATCCTCTCTTTCCTTCCTGTACAACTCACACTCCCCAACTATGTGGGGTCTACTCTCCTCCGATTTGCCACATGGACATGTGTGTCT